CACAGCTGGCGCCCAATGTGGGGCTCCTGGAACACGTGCAAAGTTTGTGAGTACCTCCTCTTACCAGGAGGGTAGTGGCAGCTTTGCCTTTATGCCATCCAACCCTTGAGGATTGGCAGGCTCTCCTCTTTTTCCTCCTTTTATTTTCAGTCTGAGTCTTCACGTGGGACGGTTAAAGACAAAGAAACAATTGAGGCTTTCTGATCAGGGCTAACCCCTGATGTTAGCCAAAGGCTCTTAGCCCTCTTAACAGATCCCGACTGCCCACATGGGTGTAGACAAGACCCCCTATCTATACATCTTTCTAATGCAAAACCCCAGTAACACAATGACCAGTTAATTGCTCTTAGAGCGGTCGCCGGATCTCTTAAATTTGCTGGCAGGCTTGCGCTGCAGCCTATGTGGGATCACCTAAGGTTTGATCCCAGAAATGTTCCCCTATGAATCAGCATTTCACCCCCCTTTCCTTTTCTATCTTGAACAACATCCCCAGAAACAAAATCCCCAAAGTTCTAAGGGATTTTTATACAAGCTTAAAAGTCAACTCCTAAAATAACAAATCTCTTTAATCTGTTTTGTTATCTTGCCCCTGGGGCACTCAAGCCCAAGCTAAACCAGTTAGGCAGGAATTTAAATTTACCAACCTCGAGACAAAAGGACGCACTTAAAGAATTTAAGGCAGCTTGCACCATACAAACAAAAAAACGATTTTAAAAAGCCATTTTTTTTTTTTTCTGTAAGCTTTTTCTTGGGGAAGGGGCTCATCAGAGGATGACCCCGTGTGCAGTCTTTCTCCTGTAGTCCTCTGCTCCCCCGCTGGCTTCCCCTTAGGAGACATGAGTTCATGCAGTGCGCACCCGGATGGCAGCTGGCTGGCACTGAGGGTGCGCATTCACAGCACTGATCATAGCCTTTTCAACCCCCCTCCAGGGGTGCACGCCGCAGAATGCTGCTGTGTCTGTCCGCAGATGCAGGGCTCATGCCTTTTCTCCTTTTAACCTTTTCTTCCCCCCAAGCTACTACCAGCACATGGTTAAGTTTTTTTTCCAATCCAAACTGACAGCCCTCTTCAAAGAAATTCACCATGCGAGTTAACAGTCTTAAAGATGTAAACTATTACAACAGAGGGTATTACTGTCTATAGTAAAAGTAGTTAATGGGATTATTTGGTCACTAACACAGATTAATTTAAAATGTATGTATGTATATGAATATATATGTAAAGTACTGCTGGCTTTTAAAAGTTTCTTTCATATACATCTGATCAAAAAATTCATCAAGGTAATAGGTCTTGGTTTTAAAACTGGTTTGTTGTGACATTGTGTCTAACCACAGTATTTATTAAATGAGACTGTTATAAATGGATTTATGTTTAACA